TGTAAACAGGACCACAGAAAGTACGATGGATTTGAATTGGTGGTGGGCTGAAGTGAGAGTATGTTAAGAGACAGAAACATCGCCAGAAACATCCCAAAGGTGGGTGGGTGTAGCAGAGTCTAGAAATTACTCACAATGACTTAGCTGGGCCACAACATGTAATCTGCTCTTAGCTAAAGTCTTTCTCCTGAGCCTCCGACCTGCTAAGAGAGAAAAAAAAATTAACTAAATGTCCGATCTGTGGGTTTAGTTTTATCAAATTTATTGTGTGTGTGTGTGTATGTGTGTGTGTTTGCTTACTACAGTGGACACTTACTCTCATTTAACAAGTGAATTAAGCAATCAATACATTAAGCAATTAAGTTAATTAAGCAATTAGCAGTTATGTGTGTAACAAGGAGGGAAGGCTTATCGTATATTACTACAGGAATTTGGTCAACCAGAACAGTGTCATCCTGCTTTAAGCCAAGGTGTAAGGGATGTGAGCTGACTGGTTCTATTCACCTCGCTCCCACCAGTCTTTAAAAGGGATTGCCCTTCTACAGTCTGCCTGTCTGCCACCATCTAGTAACTTTTGACAAGTATTATTCCTTTGTAAAAGCAAGAACAAGACAGTAGATGGTTGCTGGTGAAGGTGTCTCTGTAGGCTGCTTCCTTGTTTCGGTGCATGTGAGTAGATGCCTAAAGATCACATTTTAAATAGTGAAGCATCGAGAAATGAAACACATGGAAGGCTGCTTGTCTCTTAGCCTGGGCCGCTCAGACATGTTGTCGCAACTTCAGTTTTGGCTGGGCCAGAGTGACAACTACATATAGACTTTGTAATCTGGTGGCCTTGAGCTAAAAGAGCTCTGTCGTTTTTATGCTGGAGATTCCCAACCTTTATTCTGCACAGGAATTGCAAAGGATGCCCATTTCAAGTACATATTCCAAAGTACCACCAGAGAGACTCTGAGTTAGTTCATCTAGAATGGTGGCTAAAATTCTGCATCTAACAAGCCCTCCGAGTGACCTTGAGGCTGGCAGTCCTTTGGTCACACTTGAAGAATCATCGTTTGTGGTCAGGTGGGTTGATGGCGAAATAATGGAAACTGAGGAGTGTTGTTTATATTTTTCCTCTAAATAGAATGGAACAGAAAATTCCCTCTGGATACACCAGTATGTTTCACAGAAAGAATTTCTCATCTGCTTAAGTATTTGGACAAGTATAGAGACTTCCCAAAAAGCATGGGGAAAAAAAATTTGCCTTAAAATGTATAGTCAGTGTCCTAGTTCAGGCTGCCATAACAAAACACCATAGACAAGGTGGTTTAAAAAATAGAAATTTGGGGCCAGCAGATGGCATAGTGGTTACCTTGCTGGTCTCACACGTGGCTGGCTGAGATTCAAGTTTTGGAGCCGGTGGCTTGAAAATCTCACCGGGCCTGTGTATGTATGTGTACTCAAGATTCTAGGAGGAGGGACCAGCAGTTAGCGTAATGGTTATGTCGCTGGACTCCCATGTAGTTGACCACAGTTCGAGTCCCGGACCCGGTGGCTTAAACTCACGCCAGGCATGTATGCGTGCGTGCCCAAGATCCCGAGAGGAGAATGGAGGAGAAGGGATTGAGGTGTGGCCATCCCCCATGGGGGTGATTTCTCGCTTTCTGTCTCTCTGTCTCTCTCTGCCTTTCTGGCGAGTGCACGTGCCCTATGGCAAAAACTTCTCAAAAAAATAAAAATGAAAAAAGATTAAAGGAGGAGAATGGAGGAGAAGGTATCACAGTGTGGCCATCTCTCCCCACCTTTCCTGGGGAGGTGGATGATTTCTCACTTTCCCTCTCACTATCTCTGTCTCTTTCTCGGGCTAGCGTCATGTGCCCTATTGCAAACACCTCTAAAAAAAACTCCCACAGAAATGTCTTTTCTCTCAGTACTGGAAGCCACATGTCTGAGATCAGGGGCCAGCACAGTTGGATTATGGAGAGAGCCCTCGGCCCAGCTTGCAGATGGCTGCCTGTCCAATGTGTCCTTGCATGGGGGTGGGGAGGGCAGAGGGCGCTCTCTCTTGTCTCTTTTTATAAGGGCACAAATCCCATCATGTGGGTCCCACCTTCCTGATCTCATCAAAACCTGAGCATCTCCAAAGGCCCCATCTCCAAATATTACCACATTAGGGGTTAGGACATCAACCTATAAATTGGGGAAGGACACAGTTCTGTCCCTAGCAGTCAGCCATCCCCATCAGCCCAGAAGGAATTTAAACATGGCCCGTGTAGAGCATCTGACCTCAGGCCAGTGGTACTCCAATGCTCTCACCAGAAAGATGTCTCTGCAGAATGTATTCTTGAAGTGTCAACTTACTCATTGGATGGGGATCTGAAGAGAGGACTATTCCTGGCAAAACAGTTTTAGTGTTAGAATTACTGGAGTTAAGTATCTTCCCCTCCCACTCACCCTCATTCCTTCCTTATTTCTCATGCAGAAGAGATCATTGTCCAGGCCAGCCCAAATGGGCGTTATGTTTATGCATTGTGGATCATTTGAATGTTGACTCATACCATTCCATCAGTCCAGATTAATGAAGTTTATCTTAGTACTGTAAGAAAGGTTTTTTTGAAAAAACCTTCCGATTGTGGATTCGCCATGAAAATGAGTAGCATTGAGTCAGATCTTTTATTCTGAAATAGCAGTATAATTTGTTCTAATTGAGATATCTGACTTCACGCTTAACTCAGTGTCAGAATCTTTTAAAGATGAATTAAACATGATTCATGGGATCAGCCTTGCATCCTCCATGTCCCCCTGGCACATCACACACCATACACCCCACTTTACATACTGCCTTACACACTGCACATCTATACCCTACTAATAACAGCCAAACACACTACAGTATTTATTTAGCTTCAGAAAGATTAGAACATGATGGTCAATGTCATGTAGAATGTATACTGTATAATGTAACAGCCAATGAAGTACCTCTATTTAAAATTTCTTGTCAACTAAGGGATTATAAGAAATAAAAATTTTAAACATTAATGTTATTTTTAATGAAAATATTCAAACTATGATTAAAACTATTCGCTGTATTTAAGAGAGCAGAAGTGAAAAGGGAATGCCCCCTCTTCTCTTGTTTTCTTGTGTTGCCTTCCAGAAATTGCTGTTGATACAAATGCGTGTGTGTGTGTGTGTGTGTGTGTAAAATGAATTCATTTTTAGAGTTGATCTCTTGGTACTAGTTGAGCAGTTAGAATGGGGTGGGTCAAAGCACTCTCTGCCCTTGGATAAATGAACAAGCCTCTCCGGGGACCTCTCTGTAGATCCAGGTCTGGCTGGATGCATTTTCCTTCGTTTCTATCTGGGAAACCTTCTGCTGGTGGTTTTTGTGCTCCTGTCTATGTTTGGGGCCCACAGAGCCGAGAACTACATGCAAACTGAAAATCACCTCTGACTTTTACTGCTAGAGAAGACACCCCTAATTTAGATATCTACCTCCTGGTCCCCGGGAAAACCAATCCTTTCTCGTTAATGTTCAATCCCTAACTCTATGTATGTGACTGTCTCAATGGCAGGAGGTATTTCTGGAATATGTTATTATAGAAGGAAAACATTCTCTTTCCCAGTCATCCAGTTTTAACTTTGAATTATTTGTGCCAAATGTCAACAAGGCAGAAGAAAAGCTTTCTTTGGTATCTTTTGGTGCAATTCATACATATACACAATTGCAGATCTTTAAAAGAGAGTTACCTTGAGCATTTCAACCAGCAAGAATGTTGGAGCCGGGTATAAGTAAAGATGCAGATAAAGGCAAAGATGCCACTGAGATTTTGTACAAGTCACGGAAATGTTACAGATCATCACAACATGAAAATGATATTTATTTAGCATTTGTTTTCAGAGATTCAGAATTTCTAGAAAGTTTTTTATTCATAGTTTCATGTGCAAAATCTGAAGAACTTTATAAATGACTAGTATATCCCTGGGGTAAGCAGGCACAAGGAAGTGAAATTATGTACCTAGCATTGCAGAAGTTGAGTTGTGAGCTCAAATCACTGCACATTTCAGTTAATGATATGGCTTCTCTGATCCAGCTGACCCTGGACGAATGTGGCTGGTGTTAGCGTTTCAGAACGTTGTTTTAAACCACAGGTAGTGCCCGGTTGCTTTATTCACAAATACTAGCGATTATTAAACCATAAAACTAACCATTCCCTTTTAGTTCAAAGAGGCAAAGTTATATAGATAATTAACAATTCTCACTATGAAGGACAGTTATTTTCAATAAAATTAATCTAGATCAATGCTCACCTTTTATAATCGCTAAATCTTGTATCATCAAAAAGATGAATCTGTAATTCTTCTTGGGGAGGGGGTGGTGGGAATCTCCATAAGAGAAAAAAGATAAAACTAAGATCTAAGATCCTATAAGGTAATACTTGGCCTAAATAGTGGGGGGGGGGAGTTTTGGTGTGTGT